AACCTAAACCTAACTTAATATAAACCTGGAGCTAACGAAGATGGAAATAACGAAATGATGTAGAAGTTAATGGATCAGATGCACTAAACAGAGATCACATGAGTCTTTATAATCAGATTCTAATAATAATCGCGTGTTTAACGAATAGTCGAGTTGTTCCGTCAATAGCGAAGGATTCTGTGAACGAGGTCAGAGACCTAGTTAACACCCTCGTACACACCAGTCATTCTGGATGTCAAGTTGGCCGTCAATGAGCATTGTTGCCACCTCATACTATGATGTTCGTTCTTCACGTTTAGCTTGCACTTTTCGTCGGCCAACACCAGTGCAACGACGGTAGCCCAGTCATGCTTAGGCGGTGCATTTTTCTCGTTTCGACATTCGAAAACTTCATCTCTCCGATCGTGTTTACTTCCGCATCCGTTTCTCTCCTTCCTCGGCCCCCTCCCCTCCCCCCTCCCACGTCCGATCAGCTCGTCCAGGGAAATGACGTAACAGACCGAGAGTACGTTCGCGAACTCGAGAACTCGCGGCGACGCCATGACGCCATGACGCCATGGAGTCATGGATGGCAGACTTCGTTGAAACCCGCTGGAAACCAGCGAGTGAACTAATTAATTATACAATCGTACGGTTAACCATCTACGAATTTTTTCCACGACTATTAGAAAACTTATGTAACCAAATTAGATCAGATTAAGAATAAAGCTGTTTATTATGACGTTTTGCAACTTTGAAGTTACAGTATAAAAGGAGTTCTCAGGTATGGAATTAGTACGAGAATGTTAGACTGGAAAATTACCCATGGAGGGTCAAAGTGAACGAGATTGAGGTATTCTTCTTCTCGTGATAAAAAAAGTACGAACAACGCGACAATGTTGGCTACTCTCGAGGATATTGGTCTTGATCTTGAAATTTGGTCTTGGAAACTGCCAGTTTGCGCGCGCTGTTCCTTTCATTTCGCTCCGTTTATACTAATAAAAAGAATTAAAATTCCATTTTTTTTTTTTCTTCCGGAAAATTAGTTTCGCGTCGAAAGGAGATTGGCCTATTGCCGCTTTCCTCAAACAAGAGACATCCTGTTTCCGTAAACAAGACAGCGTTGTGGATCTTCAGCGTGTTGCAAGTTGTCGTGATGCACGAATTCTCGCTTCGAGGTGCTGGTGGCACAGTGACCCACTCCAGTGACTGAACAATATCCCGAGCTACGGTCACTTTTTTTGCCTCCGAGTGTGAATTAGAGAACTTAGGTAAATGAGAGAACCTCGCAAAGCGATCGAATTTTTTTTCTCGTTGAGAAGGTGGCCCCCTTCCCCCCCGCCCCTGACGCGCGTCAGATTTTTCATTTCACTCGCAGAGAAGAAGAATTCCTCGCGAGAGGGCCAGTGGGAAAACTGGCTTGATGTGATAATGACAGGCTGAAGGTCAGAGCCGGGAGAGGAGAGTGTCTAGAAAGGGCTAATGGTACTCGAAGTGACAGGTCGGCCTTAACCAACCTGGTCTGATACATATCTATCCTAAATCAACACGAGTGGCCTGGCCTCCTTCTTTATTTAACGTTTGGCTTTGCCATTCTTCCCCTTCGCCTTCGATTTGTATTATTTCCCTTGGATATCG